CCTGGAACTCACTGTGTAGACCAGGCTGGCCTCGAACTCACAGAGATCTGCCTGCCTCTACCTCCCGAGTGCTGGGATTAAAGGCCGGCTTACTTTTTTTTTTTTTTTTTCAGTATTTATTTTTTCATGATTTTTATTTGTTTATGTATATATGTGCGTGTGTTTGTGTTTGTATCTGTGTATGCATCTGTGTATGAGGGTACCTGATGAGGCCAGAAGAGGGTGTAAGTCCCATGAAGCTGGAATTACAGGCAATTGTGGGCCACCCAACATGAGTGCCAAGAATCAAACTCTGGTCCTCTGCTTGTACAGCCAGCACCCTTAAGGACTGAGCCATCCCTCTAGCTCCACATTAATTTTCTTAATAGCAATAAAATCTTCTGTTTTAGCAGAATCATCATATAATTTATCAGTTTGGGGGTTTTTTGTTTGTTTTTAAGACAAGGTCTCAGTTTGTAGTGCTGGCTGGTCTGAAACTTGCTATATAATAGACCTGGCTGGACTTGATACAACTCACCAGGATTTGCCTGCCTCCACTTCCCCAGTGATACAATTCACCAGGATTTGCCTGCCTCCACTTCCCCAGTGATACAATTAAAGAGATGCACCTTATGCCCAGCCATCTTTTCATTTTTAATCTTGGTGCTAGGTATCAAACCCATGGCCTCTTGCTGCATGCTAGGCAATCATTCTAACACTGGTCTTAGCCCCATCTCCTTGACCAATTAATGAATGTTTAGTTATTTTCCAAATTTGTTTGTTTTGCTTCTACAAAAATGTTACTATAAGAAGCATTCTTGAACATATATCTTAGCATACTTTCAGAATTTTATATCTAAGGAGAATTCCTATGGATGGTATTGCTAAGCCAATTGGTACATGGATTTCAAATTTTAAACCTGTTAATGAACTTTCTCCCCTTGAAAAGGGCTTGGCTCAACCCTACCAGCTGTCATTGTATAAGGTCTTATAAGGTCTGTTTCCTCTTTCTTTGCCAGTGAGAAACAATACTTTGTAACAAGTTTGGAGAGGTTGTTCTTGTGTTTGGTTAGTCTTTGGAGACAGTCTTATTAGCCTTTGACTCATGATCATCTGCCTCAGCACCCATGTGCTGGGATTCTAGGTGTGTGCCATCAGGCCAGTGTTTGGTTGTTGAGAAAATTACCATGTGCTCAGTCATATTTCTAAATGATTTAGCAAACCAGGAATGCTGCATACAACTGGAATTTCTGCTGCTGCTGTTCTCCTTTTTGTTTTATTTCATAGAAATATTTCAGTTTTGAATACTTCTAGATTTATTTTTTAAAAAGTAACAGAGTTCCTGTCTTTCTACTTCCCTACACTTTCTAACA